ACAGTAGGTCGAGGTAAGGGTAATTGATATATTTGTATATTTATTTATTTTTACTGATATTTACATTTTTGTCTTCTCCCTTCCCTTTTTCTATTTTATTTGTTTCAGCAGCCCCATTTTTACCCCCCCCCCCCCTTTTTATCTACTTTTAACATTCTTTAGATCAGGGCTTGAAATTTCAACTCGCCAGCTCACATTGGCGAGTGAAAATTATGGTGGGGGCGAGTGTGTCCCCAGGGCCATCTTGCTGAACAGGCTCGGAACTCAGGGCCGGATCTGTCACTCGCACTGGAAGCCGTCAGACTGCTCAATAGTTGAGCAAAGTGAAAACAAAGGAAGGAGTGTGTGCTGTGCTCTCTGCCTCCCCCTAGAGTGCAGTAACAGGCTCTGTGAGTGAAGGTAAGAAGTACTGCAACTTTGTATAGGGCTGTGTGTGTGTGTATTTGTATGTGTGTGTGTGTGTATTTGTGTGTGTGTGTATTTGTGTATTTGTATGTGTGTGTGTACATGTGTGTGTGTGTGTGTGTGTGTGTGTGTATTTTTGTATGTGTGTGTGTATTTGTGTGTGTCTGTTTATGCATGTACATGTGTCTGTGTGTATGTGCATGTGTTTATCTGTACATGTGTCTGTGTGTATGTACATGTATGTGTGTGTGTTTGTGTGTATGTACGTACATGTGTCTGTGTATGTATGTACATGTGTCTGTGTGTATATGTACATGTGTCTGTGTGTATGTACATGTGTCTGTGAGTGTGTATTTCTGTGTATGTACATGTGTCTGTGTGTATGTACATATATGTGTGTTTGTACATGTGTCTGTGTGTGTATACATGTGTCTGTATGTGTGTGTGTGTATATGTGTCTCTGTGCATGTGTGTACATGTTTCTGTGTGTATGTACATGTCTGTGTGTGTGTACAGGTGTCTCTGTTTGTTTATGTGTATGTACATGTGACTATATGTAAACATACACTACATGTATGGGTGGTTTGGTCAGGTTCAGGATGATGTGGTTATTATGGGTGGTAGAGTATGGGGCATTTGAGGTACTTCTGGGTTGGATAGAAGGTAGGATATGCTTGGTAGGGTTATGGGTTTTGTGAGTGAGAGATTATGGGGGGTTATGGTTGTATGCGGTGCATTGTCTAAGTATGATGGAATGTTTAGGGGGACATTGGAGGCCCTGATGTAATGTGGGGGGACTCTGGGGACCCTGATGTAATGTGAGTAACATTTAACAGTGTATTTTCATGAAATAATTTACGGGGGCATTTTGGGGCAGAATTAGGGGTGTAGCAGGGTAGGGGTTGGGTGGGACAACTGGTGGCGAGTAACTCTTAAGGCTTGGCTAGTAGCTCAGGACTTGAAATTTTAAGCCCTGCTTTAGATGTTTCTTATTGTTTGCTGACCGATGGATGTAAGCTGCTGCCTTCCCTTCCCCTTGTTTATAGAATTTGTCCTCCCCTCCATTTTCGCTGTCTGCGCCCTGCATTGTGAAAAGACAACAAGCCTATTGGTATAGTTTTCTCACTGCAGCTATGTCTTTGGTGTCTACAATACTGAAATAAAAATTAACTAGAAAAGCTACAATTTCTGGGGAAATTGTGTGAAGTGTTCTTGCCTCCACCAGTAGTCTACAACTGGAGTGGTCGCAGTTTAGAAATTGCCCTTCAAATTTGAGGTGGCTAGAGTGCAGTTTCAATTAATGTCAATGGGCGGCGTGACTTGCAAACAAATGGTCATATTGTGAAAACTATCAGGACTATGGCTTAGCCGTGGACATTTTTAGTGCCAACAGGGATAGCTGAACGTTTTGATACTAGAAAAGCTACAATTTCGGGGGAAATTGTGTGAAGTGTTCTTGCCTCCACTCTGCTGCCTGCTCACACACCTGGGTTTCTATGGCAACTCACTCTACTGCAAGGGCAGAGAAGAGCGGTTAAAAACAAACTGCTCCACCTTGCTCACTTCACTGGCAGTTGCCATCATAAAATGGTTGTATTTTAAAAATTATAAATCCTACACTGAAGAGCTTTATATTGTGAGAATCACAAGACCCAGACCTACATTTTGATGCATAGTATGTCTCTGAAATATTAAAAATGAAGGCACAGTCGCAGTTTAGAAAATTCCCTTCAAATTTGAGGTGGCTAGAGTGGAGTTTCATGAATGTCAATGGGCGGCATGAGTTGCAAACAAATGGTTATATTGTGAAAACTATTAGGACTATGGCTTAGCCGTGGACATTTTTAGTGGCAGCAGGGATAGCTGAACCTTGAAGACTTGTGTAGGTGGGCTTTAAAATGAGGGAGTGATGGCAATTTAGAAATCATGTCCTGATTTTTCAGCTCACACTCTAGCTTTTGTCAGCTCCCACTCTAGTTTTGAACATTCCGCCATTCATTCCTATGGGACCAATTTCACCACAAAAACGCCGATATTTCGTGAACCATTCGGTGAAATGTTCCACAGAGTAATAGGACACCAATCGGGAACAATCCGCACATTTCGGTATATTACTGTCTATGTAGTGTAAAAACTGTGGGAGGAGTTAGGGTGGTAAATTTGGCTATAATAATAAGAATATATATGTGAGATAACAGTAAGTGGTCTTGCCATGCAAGAACACTTAATAAAAAATACAACTGACTGATGAGTGCCCAGGGAGAGAAAAAGTATGCTAGCAAAGTAGAGGAATTGGTGATGTCCCTGGTCTGTGCAGCCCAACTCCCACATCAATACAAAGATACAGAAAAAATACAAATAAAAATAATAAATACAAATGAAAATAAAAATTAAAAATAACACAAGTTAACCAAAAATAAATTGCAAATAGGAATTTTCCATTTTGGGGCAACCCACGGCAGGACATTTCCACTAGACTAAATAGGGGAGGGGGTTGCTGCACAAAAAGTGTGAACAAAAAGGGTGCCCAGACTGCTGGACTTTGGGTGGTGATAGTGTAATTTGCAAACTCAATAGAACTCTTATGTCATACCTTGTTGCATAAACATTATGTTTATGTGACCAGGGCCAGTGCTTCCACTCGGCAAACTAGGCAGTCATCTAGGGCGCACTGCCACCTAGGGGCACCTGGGCGCAGCACAGGCCAGCAGTCTGTCTGTGTGGGATCACTTCATATATATATATGGGGCCACGTCATATATAATCAGCTTCAGCTGAGAGGAGGGGTGGTAGAGGGGAGAAAGAAAGGACAGAGGAAGATGCCAGGTGTCTGGGCCCAGTGTAGCAGCTGAGCTGTCGCTCCTTACAGTGTTCCTCTCAGACACAGTCCCTTACTGCAAGCCATTTGGCGGCTGCTGATCACGGTGGCGTTCCAGCCCTTCTCTTCCAATTCATCAGAATGGAGCTTCGCCTGCGGAGGAAGGTAATGTCTGACTCTGATGTCTCGTGTCTATGTGAGTGTGCCTCGGCTGGCAGGGCATCCATCACATGTGCAATGTGTCGGTGAGTGGTGACATCATCACGATTCCACAGCCTGCTCTTCCAGTGCCTGCTGCACCTGCTGATCTGTGTCAATGTTGATGGTGGTGTGTTGTGTCGGATCTGTCACTGTGTGGGATTGCTGAGTTCAGCTGCCTTCTGTCACAGTGTTTTATCTCCCCCACTACCTGGGGAATTCCGACCTGGGATCTGTCAGAGTGTGGATCCATCATCCTCCGCTCGCTGCAACTGTCACCCTGCCATTGCTAGACACAGATACAGTCCATCCGTGACACTGATTTTGATATTGGCGCTGGTGGCATCTTATGGCACTTACTTTTGCAAATTAAAAATTTTTTAGCAGTTTCATGTTTTGTTGAGTTAATATTTTCTACTGTTTTAACATTTTATTTATTTATTTATTTTAGGGGGAGGGGGTGCAAGTAGCTGGTCTTGCCTAGGGCACTTGGATGAGGAGGGAGATGTGTGTTTTGTGGGATTGGTTTCTAGGACACATCACCCTACCCACTAGACAGACTGTGGCTTTTTGAGAAGCTTCCAGGCCACAGGGGAGGAGCCAGAAAAAAAGAGTGTGCTAAAGGCTCAGGAAAGGTTCTGGAATGAGTGAAATGAAAGAGAATACACCAACCAGGAGCTCTGAGCTTGTGAAAAGAATTGTGCAATCTCCAACACAGCTTTCCACTCGGAAACCTTAGGTATTCTGAGAGAAGCCATTGGATATATGGGGACTCTTGCTCACTTCTAGTCGGTCTTCTGAGGCAAGTTGTCAGTCAGAACTATTAACCAGATACCTCAGGCATACTTTGAGTCAGTTACTATAACTGAGCTTCACTTGCAGTCTGACAACTGGTCACCGCAGACAGGACATCAGCCAGTTACATCAGATAAACTCTTCACCAGGTTACTGTAGGCAAGTGATACGTCTGTCACCACAGATAGGCTATCAGCCAGTGACCTCAGAGAAGCTCTCCACCATGTACCATAGGCAAATGATCAGCCAGGTACAGTATCTCATGAGAGACATAAATCAGTTACCTTAGAAAAGCCCTTCTGCTGAGCCCTATAGACAAGTTATCAGCTCGTTAATTCAGGTGACTAAGGAAGGCCATAGACAGTGCAAATTTATTTTCTGCAAGGCATTGTTGACAGGGTAATTCCTCCCCCTGAGCCATTGTGTTCTCCCAGTGGGGGGGGGGGCGGCGGGAGCTGTCTCTGCCAGGAGAAGACAATGATTGTTGCTAGCAGCTGTAAAACCACTAGTGATAATTGCATGTAAAAGTCGGAAGGCTGGTTATATCATTCAGCAGGATGGTTGGTACTTTCAGCCTGTCCATACATGGTTGAATCTCGTCTGGTTCCTGCTGAACCAGCTGAGATTCGAAAAAACATCTATGGCCATCTTTAACCGCCTCCCGCCCGCCATGTAAGGAAATGACGGGCACAAGGAGGTTCTGGGAGAACGTCATATTACGTCCTCCCACTCTAACCACGCGTGCACGGATCCGGGGGGTGCGTGGCGATCGGTGGTGTGCTGTGTCCCTCGGATACAGCGAATCACCGATCAATGGAAAGAGCCGAAGACGTCAGCTCGGTCATGTGATCAGCTGAGTCCAATCACAGCTGATCACATGTAAATAAGGAAATATCGGTTTATCAGCATTTTCTCTCCTCACGTGCTGTCATGCTGACAGCTTGTGAGGAGAGGAGAGCTGGTTATCAGCATTCCTCAGAGGGGACATGTAAACTGATCATCAGGGCACTGATGATCAGTGTGCCCTGATGATCAGGGTAGCCCCAGAAGTGCCACCTGTCAGTGTCCATCAATGCCACCTGCCAGTGCACATCAGTGCCACATCAATGCCATATATCAGTGCCTACCAGTGCACATCAATGCCACATATCAGTGCCCATCTGAGCTCCCTTTCAGTGCCACTTATCAGTTCCAGTCAGTGCCACCTATCAATGCCAGTCAGTGCCACCTATCAATGCTGCCAATCAGTGCCACCTATCAGTGCCAGTCAGTGCCGCCTATCAGTGCTAGTCAGTGCCGCCTATCAGTGCAGCCTATCAGTGCCTGTCAGTGCTGCCTTTCAGTGCCGCCTAACAGTACCAGTCAGTGCCACCTAACAGTGCCAGTCAGTGCCGCCTATCAGTGCCACCTGTCAGTGCCACCTATCAGTGCCATATATGAGTGCTACCTTTCAGTGCCCATCAGTGATGCCTGTCAATACCCATCAGTGCCACCTACCAGTGCCTCCTCATCAGTGCCACCTATCAGTGCCCATCATTGCAGCCTCATTAGCGCACATCAGTGAAGGAGAAAAATCACATATTTACAAAATTCTATATCAAAAACTAAGAAAAAACTTTTTTTTTCAAACTTTTCAGTGGTTTTTGGTTTGTTTAGCAAAAAATAAAAACCCCAGAGGTGATTAAATACCACCAAAAGAAAGCTCTATCTGTCTCAAAAAAATGATAAAAATTTCATATGGGTACAGTGTTGCATGACCGTGCAATTGTCATTCAAAATGTGACAGCGCTGAAAGCTGAAAACTGGCCTGGACAGGAAGGGGGGGTATGTAGGCAAGTGGTTAATAAAAATACTTCAGATAGGCTCATAGCCGGCTACTATAGACAAGATATTAGTCATCCACTTCTAGAGAAGCATCAGCTCTTCATCAGATAAACTGATAAATTCCTGAAGTGAGATTAGAAGCCATTGTGGCAATCTGCAATCTATGGCATTATGGAAATCAATTAGAATAATTCACAATTTAAATTGTAACACTATTTAAAAAGCGTTTCTGCTACTGAAGCTTTTGGTTAAGCTGTGAGGAATAATTGACCATATACTAAATGTCTAAGACATGAATGATATGACATATGAATCTCTTCTTCTTACTTCTTATTACGTCAGTTCAGAATTTATATTTGTTCTCTCTCTTGGGATAGTTCTCATAAAGTTATTTCTAAAAAAAAGTTTTAAAGTTTGACAGAAGACATAAGAAAATAAATAAACAGTAATTCAACAATTATAAAGTAAAGTAGGGCTCCCCCCCCCCCCATTTATACTTGCCTAGGTGGATTCAGCATTAATCTGATGCTGTATCTGTCCCCTGCCGGCTCTAAGTGTGAGAACTCAGCGATCACATGACCACTGATCACTGTGTACACACAGCTGCTCTGAGCAGAGTGGTGATTGTCAGTCATAGCTGTTTGCTCTCCCCCCCAACACTCACTGGAGCGCTGCGCTTTTAAGGGTAGGGAATCAGCTGGCTCAGGATTTGCTGACAGGCTGAACCAGGTGTCGCTCCAGACCCTGGGTGGGTGGATCCCCACTTTAAAGTCGGGATATTTCCCCAGCTTGGACCGGTTGAGTGACAGCAGCCACCAGCAGACTTCAGTCCCCTGTCAGCTGAAAATGAGCCACAGTAGTGCAGAACGAACTTAAAAGAGCAACACCAAAGCTTGCTGAGAACTATTTAATCTTTTCTAACATCTATCTCTCTCTATCTATCTATCTATCTATCTGTCTATCTATCTATCTATCTATCTATCTATCTATCTATCTACTTATATCCATCAGGATTATTATATTCTATATCAATAAAGCCCTGCAGGCATATTCATGCTTAACTGGACCATCATAAAGCTTTTTATTTTAATGAGCTATTTTTTTAAACTTTCTTATAAAGTTAAAATAGAGTAGTTTTTATACTCTTAGTGGTTTTGTTATAGCTTTATTTTACATTGCATTTCTTGTATATCTGGTACTAGACTCGTGTCTTGTTTTAGTGTATTGTGGGTTAAGAAATATAACTTTTGTATACAATTTATTGTATACAATATGTTTCAATATATTTATTGACAATTTACATTTGTGTGATTTGTTTGTCTTAAAGTGTTACTAAACCCACAACAGTAAAATCAGTCTGTATATGCAGTAAAGCATGCTTGTTATTAGAGATGAGCGAATCGAACTTGGCGAAGTGGAATTCATTTCGAATATTAGGAAAAATTCGATTCGCACCGAATCCGAATTTTAGCAAACTTCGGATGCACGAATCGAATTTTCCCCGGTCAGCCGGCAAAAAGTGTCACTGCAGAGAGCTCCGCTATTTCTGACAGTTCTCTGACAGTTCCTTCACATTTACAGCGGTTGAAACATTGTATCTATTTGTTTCCATTTAGGATAGAGATGTTTTTATTCGGAAATAAATAGATACAATGTTTCAACCGCTGTAAATGTGAAGGAAGTGTCAGAGAACTGTCAGAAATAGCGGAGCTCTCTGCAGATACACTTTTTGCTGTACTGGAATTCTTCTTCTTTTCATTCTTCTTCTTCTTTTCATTCTTCTTCTTCTTCTTTTCATTCTTCTTCTTCTTTTCATTCTTCTTTTCATTCTTCTTCTTCTTCTTTTCATTCTTCTTCTTCTTCTTCTTTTCATTCTTCTTCTTCTTCTTTTCATTCTTCTTTTCATTCTTCTTCTTCTTCTTTTCTTTTCTTCTTCTTCTTTTCATTCTTCTTCTTCTTCTTTTCATTCTTCTTTTCATTCTTCTTCATTCTTCTTTTTCATTCTTCTTTTCATTCTTCTTCTTCTTCTTTTCATTCTTCTTTTCATTCTTCTCATTCTTCTTTTCATTCTTCTTTTCATTCTTCTTCTCATTCTTCTTTTCATTCTTCTTCTTCTTCTTCATTTCATTCTTCTTCTTCTTCTTTTCATTATTCTTTTCATTCTTCTTCTTCTTCTTTTCATTCTTCTTCATTCTTTCATTCTTTCTCATTCTTCTTTTCATTCTTCTTCTTCTTCTTTTCATTCTTCTTCTTTTCATTCTTCTTTTCATTCTTCTCATTCTTCTTTTCATTCTTCTTTTCATTCTTCTTCTCATTCTTCTTTTCATTCTTCTTCTTCTTCTTTTCATTCTTCTTCTTCTTCTTTTCATTCTTCTTTTCATTCTTCTTCTTCTTCTTTTCATTCTTCTTTTCATTCTTCTCATTCTTCTCTTTTCATTCTTCTTCTCATTCTTCTTTTCATTCTTCTTCTTCTTCTTTTCATTCTTCTTCTTTTCATTCTTCTTCTTTTCATTCTTCTTTTCATTCTTCTTCTTCTTCTTTTCATTCTTCTTCTTCTTCTTTTCATTCTTCTTCTTTTCATTCTTCTTTTCATTCTTCTTTTCTTCTTTTCATTCTTCTTTTCATTCTTCTCATTCTTCTTTTCATTCTTCTTCTTCTTCTTTTCATTCTTCTTCTTCTTCTTCTTTTCATTCTTCTTTTCATTCTTCTCATTCTTCTTTTCATTCTTCTTTTCATTCTTCTTCTCATTCTTCTTTTCATTCTTCTTCTTCTTCTTTTCATTCTTCTTCTTCTTCTTTTCATTCCTCTTCTTCTTCTTTTCATTCTTCTTTTCATTCTTCTTCTTCTTCTTTTCATTCTTCTTTTCATTCTTCTTCTTCTTCTTCTTCTTCTTCGTCGTGCCCCGTGACTGCCCAAATGAGTGAAGTGTGCGGTGATTCTAAGATCGACGGCACTCATCTGCATGTCATACTGACTGACAGTATTATTTCTCTTCCCCAGCAGACTCCAAGGGCATTTAAATTAAAGGTACAGTGTTCTGCACTAATATAAAGGCTCTCTGAAGCCTAGAAACCCTTTTAATAAGTTAAATTCGCAGCGAATAAATTTGCATCCAATCGAATTTCTCCCGCAAATTCGGCGAATCAGCCGAATCGAATTTTTGAATAATTCGCTCATCTCTACTTGTTATACTCACTGTGGAACCTAAGTGATTAATCCTCTGCATTGTGTAAAAAGCCTGATCCTGCCTGATCCTGTCTTCTCTGATCCTCCTCTTTTTTCAGTGTCCCCTCTTATCTCCTCATAAGACATATCGTGTGGAGTCACTTTGTACATGCTCATTTTGGTGTGTATTGCTAGAGAGTTTTTTTTTTATTGGGGGAGTGCATGTGATCAGCACAGTCCAGACAGAGGGTCAGGGATTATACAGCCTCATAGGGCTGGCAGAGCAGAATGAAAACTTTTCCTACAAGATTTAACCAGTGCTCTGCTGGAATTTGATAGACGTCACAAGACTGCTCTAACTATTGGTGAGAAAGGGTATTTAGCAGTTTATATTTACTAAAATAGTTGCATTTCCATGTACTGTGTACTGTGGGAGACCAAATATAGTGAATGCAGGGTAAATATAGCACAAAAACTCCTCAAAAGGTTCCCCAAAATACATGGCAAACCCTTGGAGGGATCACTGCCCATGACATGTCATTTTACAAGTGTTAAAACTTTTTTTCATTGTGCCTCTTCACAGGCAGGATAAGAACATTCCCATGCATGTCATTTAAAGGAATTGGACATGTTTAAAGTTTCACTTTAAGCATTTAAAAAAAATAACAGATTCATTTCAGTGGGGTTCAAGTTCTGCATCCGGACTTTGAACTTCTCCAAACCTGCTCAAATCAAACCCAGCGCAGTTTGGCTCATCACAAGTGTTGGAATTACATCATGGGACAGTTTTTTAAAGAAAATATTTTTTCTACGGTGTGTGTTTATTTGCTTTTTAATTTTTTTGTGTTATATAGTCCTTACTTACTAATGTGGGGAAGGTGAGAAATCTTGGAGCCTCCTACACTTAAGGAGGCACTTCATCCTTATCAAAAAATTACAGTAAAGGCACACTAGAAATGTTTAGTAATGACAATCTACAAACAGATACTTTTATATAATTGCAGAATTTTATTATTTGCATATTTTTGTAGGATATTTATTCTTTGCATACTTTTTTTGCCTCCTCCCCTTTCTCTGATGGTGGCCATTTTTACTAAGGGCAGATTAATCTATTTCCCTTATCTGCCTCCTGGAACATGTGACAGGAGCTTCACAGGATGCAGCTATGAGACCATGATTACATTACATGTGCCTCACTCAACTAGGAAGTGGAAAACAGTAATTGTAAGTAAAAGAAAAATATATTTGTTTACCTAATGATGATTTCATATCAGCAAAGTTCTGTATGCTGCTGTGATTTTTGTATAAGGGGGAAAAATTAACTTTCAAGTGAATTTCCAGATTTCAAAAAGCCCTTACCCTTGCCAGGATGTGGGGATGAGGTTCATTGTCTCCATCAACATACATACCTGTAGTGGGCATGTGGCCAGATATGGTTTAGGATGGGGGTTCTTGCTCATTGTTCCTCCCATTTTCTGGCCAGCAAGGCTGCATGCCTATATAAGGGTCTGGTATGGATTTTGAAGG